TGAAAATGCTTTATATGTTTGCTTTTATTTTTAAATTTTTATTTGAATACGCTTTACATGTTATGTTTATGTATTTTAATTTTAGATAATAGGTTTTTTAAAACATTTATCTTAAAATTTAAGTTTATATTTTCTATTAACATTATGTTTAATATTTTTTTTTTTAAATTTTAGCATTTTTTTTTATTTTTCTGTTTTTTTTTTTTTAATTTGTAGCCTTTTTTTGGTAATTTTGTGCCTTGCTTAAAAAGGCACTTGCCTCGCCTTCCGCCTTGTGCCTCGGGCGCAAATTGGCCCTTGCGCTTTTTTTGCGCCTTGAGCTTTTAAAACACTGCTATTGGGCTTCTTTGGTCTTGTTCTGGAATACTTAAATTAGTTCATAATTTTTATTGGTTTCATGAATTTGCAGTTGTAGATATGTGTCAGCGATATCCAAATGCCACTGAAGTGAATATTATTGGCACCCCTGCTATGGACACCCTTGCTATGAGAGCAATACGATCCTTAAGGTGATTGGCCCCTTTCTTGATAACTTACCTAGTTCTGTGTACATCTTATCTCATGTAACCTTTCTACAATAAGTTCATATTTGTGATTGATCTTCAGGAACATTGAGATTTTGATTTTGGGGAAGGGACAGCTTGGTGGTGATTTTTTCTGTGACCTAGCTAATTGTTCTATGTTGAGAAGTTTGCGTGTCATTGATGCAACTCTTGGTAATGGCAGTCAAGAGATAACTGTGTTCCATGATAGATTGCGCCATCTTCAAATTGTGAAGTGCCGTGTTCTCCGTATTTGTGTGAGGTGGAAATATTTTCATGTTTGAGAACAAAGTTATAATGTGCTGTAGTGGTTTGAGTTTTAATGTTGAAATCTGATATTTTTGTAGGTGTCCACAACTTGAAATGTTGTCCCTGAAGCGTACCAACATGACACATGCAATGCTTAATTGCCCTCAATTATATGAATTAGATATAGGTTCCTGCCACAAGCTCTCAGATGCTGGAATCCGTTCAGCAGCAACGTCATGCCCGTTATTGGCATCTTTGGACATGTCAAACTGTTCATGTGTTAGTGATGAAACACTTCGGGAGATAGCCTTCACTTGTGTTCATCTTCATTTTCTAAACGCATCATACTGCCCAAACATCTCACTTGAGGTTAGTCTTATCTGTGCTTCAAAAATCTGTTTCTGCTGATGTCAGATTTATCTTTATCTAACATTATTTGGTCCTGCTTCTGGAAGTCTGTAAGGCTGCCAATGTTGATGGTTTTGAAGCTTCATAGTTGTGAGGGTATAACTTCTGCTTCGATGGCTGCAATATCTCATAGTTATATGCTCGAGGTTTGGACTTATTTTCTTGCTTTAGATATAGGTGATTCTTAGCTGTTTCTTACTGCAACTTCTAAGTATTTTTTTTATGTCTATCTTAGTAATTGTTTTTCACTTGCCTAAAAGAGATCATTATTTCATTCTAGGTACTGGAGCTTGATAATTGTAGTTTGTTGACATCAGTTTCCTTGGACCTTCCACGACTGCAGAAGATCAGACTAATACATTGTCGCAAGTAGAATTTTCTCCCCATGTCCTTTTCCTTGCCAATTGTTATGCACTTTTGGTCTGTTAGCAAGCTATGACTCAATGTTGTTTCCTTCACAGATTTGTTGATTTAAATTTGCGAAGCCCTATGCTTTCATCAATTACAGTTTCTAATTGCCCTGCACTCCATCACATCAACATCACATCAAATTCATTGCAGGTTTGTCCTTGTTGAGATAATGAAATGTATTCCGATTCTTTTCCACATTTCTTGTCATTTTTTTATGGCTGAAACCTTGAACAAATGGTTTTCTGGCAATGCAGAAATTAGTATTACAAAAGCAGGAAAGTTTGACCACATTGGCATTGCAGTGCCAGAGTTTGCAAGAAGTGGACCTTACTGAATGTGAATCTTTGACAAATTCTGTTTGTGAAGTTTTTAGTGATGGTGGTGGTTGTCCCATGCTTAGATCACTGGTTCTTGACAGTTGTGAGGTTGGTATATCCTCTTTACACATCTACTCATTTTTTTTCATCAGCGTTCCACTTATGCTTGACGTGCACATGAGATGAGTATAATAGACTGGATAGAAGAGTTGTGGGGAAAGCAATTCACATATCTGATCTAAAATGGTTTTTCTCTGCTTGGTTGGTGATGGTGATGAACACATGGGATTGCATATGCTTACTGTTTGGAATTTTGTGTATTTGTTGCATTTTTTAAGTAAAGAGCCCTTTAGGAAGTTGAGTGTTTTTCACGAGAAGTCTTTACATGGATTATGGGTGGGGGGGGGGAAGGAGAGATCTGATTCGTGGCATGGTGTACAACATAGGTAGCTGTAGTGCTGCACTGGTATTGAAACTGTTTTTTGTCATAGATTAATAGAGAAAAGAGGAAGAGAAACGAAGTCAGGAGTTTGAGAATGAATCAATTCTGTGGTGGCAGTCCATACTATTTTATAGTTTTATTTAAAGTTTGTTAAACTTATGCAAAATGACATCATTTAAAGCCAAAATAATGATGTTTCCTTTAACCTTTTGTCCGTACTTTTCTCAATTTATAGACATTTATGCTTGCATTGGTCTCCTCTCTATATTTTGACGGAGTTTGGTTTCTGCCCTCCTATTTTGCATACTGGTTGATATGTTTTCTGTTTCATTCATGCCAATTTTGCTATAGCTCTTAGCAATTATTTTCCTCCCATGTAACTGAAAATGTTCATTTAATTGTTTACAGAATCTGACAGCAGTAAGATTCAACAGTACTTCTTTGGTCAGTCTTTCCCTTGTTGGTTGCCGTGCCATGACTGCCCTTGAACTCACATGCCCATTTCTTGAGCAAGTTTATTTAGATGGCTGTGATCATCTAGAAAGAGCATCATTTTGTCCAGTAAGTGAATTACTTCATGATTTTATTCCTATGGTGAATTGTATTCTTTAGACCTCTACATAATTGTTATTGGCTGTAAGTAGACATGGTTGTTGACCTTACACACATTGACATGCTTGTACATGTGATTTCTGCTTTTTGAACTTCATCAACTGCCTTATGAATTGTTTGATGCAGGTTGGTCTTGGGTCCTTGAATTTGGGGATATGTCCAAAATTAAATGTACTCCAAATTGAAGCACCACACATGGTTGTGCTGGAGTTGAAGGGATGCGGTGTCTTGTCTGAGGCATCCATCAATTGCCCTCATTTGATGTCTTTAGATGCCTCCTTTTGCAGGTTATGTTCTTTTTTCTCAATAATTTCTCAAAATGATACTAATACTTGTTGCCCTCCCAAGACCCCAGATAGCTGGGGCCAACAATGCGTATTGGCCTTTTTTATGCTTGTTGAGAAAAAAATCTGATATTTTCATTATTTTTCATATACAGCCAGCTTAAAGATGACTGCTTGTCTGCAACAACTGCATCATGCCCTCTGATTGAGTCACTAATATTGATGTCTTGCCCATCTGTTGGTCCTGATGGGCTCTCCTCTTTGCGCCAACTTTCTTGTTTGGCATTGCTCGACTTATCCTATACTTTCTTGGTGAACTTGCAGCCAGTTTTTGAATCCTGTTTGCAGTTGAAGGTAATTCTCACATACTGTAATGAAAAAGAAAACAGATTTGCATTCTTGAATTACCATTATGGAATTAATTCCTGCTCTTATCATCTATTTTAAGTTTTTAACTAGATTTTTTTTACTTACTGCAAGTTAAAATTCTCTCTCTGTGCAAATCTGGAAGCTGCCTTTTTTGATTGTTATAGTACCACTAATTAATTGAAATATTATGTTTGAAGCTCTTAATTTATGATTAAAACATTGAAACTGACAAAAAAGAGAAACTGTGAATTCCAAAATGTGCCCTTCAGGATGCATTTATTTGGGTGAAGGAATATTTTAGTTTGACAAAGTGGTCTATAGACTATAATCATCCCTCCCCTTCCTTTTCTACAGGTATTGAAATTGCAGGCTTGCAAGTATCTCACTGATTCATCTCTGGAGGCTCTGTATAAGGAAGGGGCTCTACCAGCGCTTCGTGAATTGGATTTATCCTATGGGAGTATCTGTCAGTCAGCCATAGAGGAACTTCTTGCTTGCTGTACACATCTTACACACGTCAGTTTAAATGGATGTGTGAATATGCATGACCTTAATTGGGGTCCAAGTGGTGGTCAGCTTTCTGAATTGCCAAACAGCAGTGGCTCAACTGGCTTGTTTTCTCCAAAAGCTATGCATGATACAATTCAACAGCCTGACCGGCTACTACAGAACCTGAACTGTGTTGGGTGCCCAAACATAAAAAAGGTTGTCATTCCTCCTAGGGCCCGCTGTTTTCATTTGTCATCATTAAACCTTTCTTTGTCATCAAATTTGAAAGAAGTTGGTGTTGCTTGTTTCAATCTGAGCTTTCTCAATTTGAGGTATGCTTATATTTTCTTTTCAACAACTCCTTTTGGTTGTGCAAATCTCTGTTTTCTCCATTTTTTTTTGTGTTGTTTTATGTTAATATTTCCTTCTTTACTTTTACCCTTCAGCAATTGTTGCTCTTTGGAAGTTCTAAAACTTGATTGTCCAAGGCTAACTAGCCTCTTCCTTCAGGTATGAATTTTCTGCCTCCACAAGCTTCTGAGTGAACATTTGGGTCTGGAGTCTCTAGACAGTCTCTATCTTATATAGGGAACTTCATTATAAAACATACCAGTGTGTGGGACATGTGGCCTTTGTGCCTGGGCTAAAAATTTCTTGGTCAAAATTCACCATGATGCGGTGTTCCTAATCATCTGATATGTTCCTTTTGTTCAGATTTTAAGAAAACCTTTGAAATACCAGCAAACTACAGATTAGAATGTTTATTTATTTGCTTGTACTGATGTCAGTTAAGGATTTGTCATAATCTCATGTGTTAAGTGGTCTGAATGCTCCATTCAAAACTAGGGAGATCATGGGCCGGGAACCTATGTATGGGCCTGGTCTGGGATTTGGCCCTATGCATTAAAAATATGACCACCCAACACTCACAATGTCTACTTTTGTATAATGAATATAGAGCCTTGGTTCTCTTAATTTGTTAATTGATAAGGTCCCACATCGACTAGTTAAATCAAGGCTTTGCATTCATCTATATAAGAATAGACAACAAAAAAAATAAGCTATGCACTCTTAGGACAGTTGATTATATAAAATATATAATATAATTAGTATATAATAAAATTTATATAATATATAATTGTAGACTGGGCTGGTCTTGAAGAATTGGGCCCAGGCCATGCTTGAAATGATCACCCCTATTCAAAACAAGCAAGACCGTTCTAATATATCAAATAATCTGCTTTGCCCCACATGATATTTCTTTGTAGCATATGGGTATTACATCATCCACAAGTTTTCTTTTGGTAGCATTAGCATTCCTCTCATAGTTATTGTCGTTCAAATATGCTTGAATTTCATCTTGCACTCTTTAGGTGTGAAATTGGTAAAATTGCCTGCCTAGGGAAACGTACCAACTTCTACCTAGAATCCATCCCCCAAAATCCCAGTAGAGTTTCCACCTGGAAAATAAGATTCAACAAAGACGTGGTTTAGGCTCACTGAATATCTAGTTTTGAAAATTTGCTTTTGTCAGTCCAAAATGTAAGACTAACACCTACCCTGCTAGAGCTATTTTTTTGTTCCTGTGGAGTTGTGCTTTTGCCTCGAAACAAAATCCCTTGTTCTTCTCTTTCCATTACTTGGTTATATAAACATTGGGGTTTTAATAGTCTTGCAGCATTACTGAAGAAGCTGTTAAAGCTGCCATATCACACTGTAGCATGCTCGAAACTCTGGACGTCCGTTATTGTCCAAAGGTAAGAGACTTTATGGAATTAGTCAGTCTTGTATATGGGCAATTAATAGTTGAGACAAAGTGGCCACTTTGAAAAGTGCTTCCTATAATTAATAATAGAGTTGTATCAAAGGAGATTTCATCTGAGTTGGTTTATTTCTCTCTGAACAGATAGATTCTATGAGCATGGGGAGATTACGCGTTGTGTGTCCCAGTCTGAAACGCATCTTTAGCAGTCTGTCCCCATCATGATATCGTTTGCAAATACACGTCTTCCCTTGCAGGTCCGATTGCTTCCGAATGTCTCTCCGCTACATGTTTTACTCTCGCATGGAAACCGTCCTTGTAAATAACCAATTGTGATGCAATCGGCGTAAGTGACTTGGGTGTGGATTGCTGAAGCTGTTCAGCATCCGCCACATGTAAAAGATATAATAAAACTTTGTTTTTGTTAATGCCTATTGTTGTTTTATGTTGGTATGCTCTTGGTTGTCTGTTTATTGCTGAGGCATTTTCCTTTACTAGCTGAGAAGAAAGAGTAAAGACTGTTTGGTTTGAACTTTCAAGGAAAAAGTCGGGACAAGAAGGGAGTTTCCCTTCCTTTCCCTACCTTTTCCTTCAAACCAAATACAGTCTAAGGGAGTTTGTAGGTTCTTAGAAAAGATTAGAATAAGATGGAAAGTAATATACAATGGTCTAATCCGGTGCAAGCTGAGCTCGATTGTGAGTACTCAGGTGCTGCTTGGAAATTATTTAACGGGAATCTACCGCGAGTTGTTGTGACATGAAAACTGGAACGTCACAATCAAAAATTCAAAATGTTTTATTTAGGCTCCGTTTGACAAGACTGCAAGTGCTGGTTAATTGCATATATGCACTCTTGTTCAGTTAGCATGTGTTTGGTAAGATTGCATTTATGTACCAAAAAATTACAGTTTTTACAAATTTCAATGCATGCTTGCATAGTTGCATTCAGAATGCAAATTTTGCACTCAAAAGTTGGTCAATGTAACGAAGAAAGGTATTTCAAAATTTGTTTTTGCACCCATCACATCTAAAAATTGTTTAGCAATAAAGTAAAATTTGTCAATGTAGAACTAAATCAACTTTGCATTTGCATCAACCATCATGTTTGTATTGGCTCTTTCTCCAAATGGAGCCTTAGAGAAGGTTAGTAGAGAGAAACAGTGTTTTGAGTTTGGGTAAATTGCTGAAACCAAGGTTCAAAGTATCGACACGTATCGGCCGATACGTATTGTTCTGGGACCCCTTTGATACGCCCCTATAGTGGGTGTATTGGGGGTCTGACCAGTTCAGGGTGTGGAGACTTAAACTGCCCCTCCTAACCTGTCTCAAAAAATAAATAAATAAATAAAACATAATAAAAAAGGGTATCGATTCGCCCAATAATGCCCATACCGGTGTATCGATATTTTGAGCCTTGGCTGAAACCTCTCCTAAAGTTTTGAATCGTTGCTAAAATCTCCCTTAAAGTTTGTTAATGGCAATAACCTCCCTTAAACTTTCTGACGAGGCATGAAATTGTCTAAAATATCCATTCCATTAATATTGAGGCTGGTTTTTATAGAAAACAATGCAAATTTTATCAACAACAACAAAAGAAAGAGCTTGAATTTGTAATTTTACCTTTGAGTGATTGATATGAAGGGAAATTTAGAAAAATAAATCAATTTTGGAGATGACTGGAGGTGTTTGGGGTAGCAATTAATATGAAATAGAAGAATTAGAAAATAAATATATTAGGCAAAAGTAATTGTATAAGTATTTTTGACATTTTCATGCCTCTTGTTAGAAGATTTTAAGAGATGGGATTTAATTATTACAATGTTAGAAAGGTCATGAAGGATGATTGCAATTTGCAACATTTAGGGGAAGTTTCAGCAATAGTCCAAAACTTTAGCAGAGGTTTCAACAATTAGGTTGTTTTTTGCCGATTATAAACAAAAGAAGATAGCCCAGTTGGGGACTTGGGGTTCTGAGAGATGAGAGAATGGGTACTGTAGGTTATTATAAAAGGTAAGGAGAAGAAGGAAAATTGGGTATATAGAACTTAGAACATTGGCCCCCAATTAAGGGGCTATATAATTTTATTGATGTTTATTAAAAAAATGTTTTGTATAATTTTTCCTTGAAAAATGGGATAAAACATTTTTTATTATTTTATAACAGCTAAGTACTATTAGGCGCTACATTAACAGAAGAGTAAAGAAATACTTAATATCATTACAAAATATAAGGTTTTGTGCTCTACTACTCCTTCAAAATGGAGCAACAATCAAGAAAATCCAAACTAATTTTTCGGCTGTCTTGACTACCTAGTCCCTTTTGAAGTAGGTTTTGCTCGTTTTACATCACAATCAAGGTTAAAAATATATTGGTATCTAAAGGCATGGCCATGTTGAGGATCTGGCGCGGTGATGACAGTCACTAAAAGTTGCATGGCAGTCATAATTGTTGCTACCGTCAGCATAGTTCAATGAATTGTTATTTATTCATTCAAACATTTTTTTATATATTTTTTTAATAGTTTGTCCCTAGGGGTGTTAATTGAAATCGAATCGAAGCTGATTGATTAACCATCGGTTCAGTTTGTTGGTTCGTTGGTTTTTTAATATTTATAATGTATATTATAAAAAATATATAAATATATAATAAAACACTAAAATATATATAAAATATTATATTTTAAATAATAAATAATATATTATATATTATAAATATACATTTATATATAATGTATATTCATTAATTTATAACATATAGAAAATATAAAATATATATAAAATGTATATATAATATACATAAAATATAATATAAATATATGTATACCGATCGGTTCGGTTAACCATTGGCTTTCTATTTTGGTTAATTGAAACTGAACCAGTACATTCAGTTTTTAAAATACCAAACCGAAGTTGAACCGGCTGATTCTATTAACCGGATTTTCAGTTCAGTTTTTGTCAATTCGGTTTTTCAGCTTTTTTTGCTCATCCCTAATAGATAGGTTTTGGAGTCTCTGTCCAAACCAAAATCAATTTGAACGGATTGGATGGACCAATAAGATATTGATTTGTACCAGGTCCATTCGTAATGAATTTATATTAGATTAGGTTAGATAGAGCCGACATCTGGTCCATTGATAGAAGATAATAATATAGGTGTTAAGGGTCAGGTTTGAGTTGGAACTAATCTAAATTAAAACAAATTCAAACATATCGAACAGTCTGGACATTGAATTGGCCAGTCCAAAATGGTCTAAAATATTCATTAGATTGAACTGGACCTGGTTCATTTGCAATGGACTCACATTGAACTGAATCATATTGGACCAATTCCAACCCAATTGACACCCCTATTTGTCCCAAGAGTATGGATCTTCATCATATATCCATTGACAGTCAAAACTTGTTAGATCTATATATTCTTGTTTTCTAAAAAATTGAAAATTTTTGAAATTTATAAAAATATTTTGTATGTCATACAAGCAATTTTCATTGCAAACAAAAATTCAAAGCAACATACCGATCAATATTTTATATAAGCAAATTTCAAAGCAACACATTGATATTTTATATGTTATATAAGCAACATATCGATCAGTATTTTATATCGATTGTAGGAAAATGAAGTCATTGTAACTTTAGAGGAGAAGATCTGAGGCGCATCTGAAGACACTGTCTTTAGAACGTTATTTGCCCCCACTCAGTTTCACTGAGTTTGCTGTTGGGTTACAGGCAAATCCGTTCCCAGGACACAGCAGAGCTTTGGGCAAGAATCTGCAACCAACAAAGTTGAAGAATCTCTGAAAAAACCTTCTGTGAGACTATAGTAGACTGGACTGAGAGAGAGAAAAAGTGGATTTCGAAAATGTGTGTTTTTGAAGTCTGAGAAGAAAATGTAGGTGCTGGTTTAGAGAAGAGACATTTAGTAGTTAATGACTATTAACTTTTAATTGTGCCTCTTGATCACCCGATCGAATTGTGACTATTGGTCTCATCAACGATCAGCATCGCACCAAAACCAAAGCCGCCCTTCGCGAGCCATACGGGTGCAAGCAAAGTGCGCCTCTAAAGCGCCTCGTTTGCACGCGTTGCACGATACCAAACCCCCATACTCTCCTTTACTATTTGTAAAGAGTGTAAATCAGCTCCTATTAAAATACTGAAAACAAAGCTTATAATTTTCCAATGTGGGACAAATTCAAAACTGGGTTTTGTAAGAGAAAAACTAATTTTTCGATCAAGTGTACAAGTGCAATTTCTCATATAATTGATCAATCAAACCCATTGGATTTAATCTCTTAAAATCCAACATCGATCAATTTTCAAAGCAACATATCCATCAATATTTTATATGTCAAATAAGCAATTTTCATTTCAAGCAAAAATTCAAAGCAATTTTGTATGTCATCAATATTTATATGTCATATAAGCAATTTTCATTGCAAACAAAAATTCAAAGCAACATATCGATCAATATTTTAAATATCAAGAGTTCAATGTGTTCGATTATTTTAAGCATTAATGATTGATGTGACACATCCCTGACAAATAATCGAACCCAAAAATAAATAAATAAAAGGAATTGAGGCAATACCAACCGTTGAAATGCAAAATTTGTATAGTGAGAGTATCAAACTATCAATACTTTGAATTTTGATTGCAATAAATAACTAAAATATGAATCCATCAATGGTGTATTAAATTTAGAGGTGTAAATCGGGCCGGGTCGTTACGACTTTGGACCGACCCAGCCTAGATTGGCATGAAGGCCTATAGGCCATGCCAGGCCCGATACGGGTCCGTACCATGTTGGGCTAGGGCTTTTAGGTCCACGGGTTAATACGATATGACACGAGCATAGCCCATGGGGCCCATAGTAGGCCGAGCGCGACTTGCCCAGAATATAGTTGTTGCCCCCCCTCCCCCTTAAAGGGGCCCAATGGCTAGTTTCAACTTTTAGGGGGGGGTAGAGGGGTATTTGTGTATTTTGCTTATGAGGAGTTGATAAAATGACATAAATGCCCTCTCAATGGCTATATAATAACTAGCTTAGGGGGCTTTTTGGGTAAAGTTATAAATAACTTTACAATGACCAAAATACCCCTCCCAACAACTAAATAACAACTAGTTTTTTGGATATTTTGGGCAATTGAATTATGTTCAATTCCTATAAATAGCCCTATCCTCCACCATTCTCATCACACCAATTCAATAATTCTCTTAATCTCTCATTCTCAATTCCCTACAATCTGAGTAATTTTGATTAGTTGATTGTTTGATTCTGCATTCTCTAATTCTCAAGTCTCAATTTTATTGAAGTTTCAACTTTCAACAAAAAGAAGGCTTGCTCAACTAGCTCAAGTATCTCAATTTGGGAGGCTTGGACGTTGAAAGGCTTCAACCGTTGAAATCAAGTTGGGATTTTGAACCGACAATCCTGGTAAGTCGAATTAGATTAATTTTTATCTTTTTAGAATTAAAAAAAATGGCCGGCTCTTCTTAAAACCGATTCCCCAACATGTTCACCATTGATGATATTCAATCGCATCATGATAGTGTTAGCACTAATGCGATTGATGTCGATGGAAGTAGAACTTCCACCCCGGTACTAATACTAGGGGAGAAAGGAGGACCTCTAAGTTGAGTAGCCCAATTTGGAAAATTTTCAAAGTAAAGGATATTGAGGGGAAGGGGAAAAGAGTTGTTTGCCAAAAATGTAGGAAGGACTTTAGTTATTGTAACAAGGGTGGTACGGGTCACTTGAGTAGGCATCTGCTCACACATGAGAAAGAAAAAGATGAAGGGAGAGAAACAACCCAAATACATATTGGATGGGGAAGTAGTTTTGGTACTTTTACATATTCACAAGAAAAAATGAGACAAGAACTTGCTAAGTATATTGTACATGCAGAACAACCACTTATATTAGCTGAAGATCCAAAGCTATAAAAATGGTTGCGTAGTTCTGTAAACCCACAATATAAAAAGTTTCTAAGAATACTATAAGAACTGATGCTTTAAAAATTTTTATTCATATAAACAAAATTTAATTTCTTTGTTAGCAAATCTTAATTCTAAAGTTGCAATTGCTTCGGATGTTTGGACATCTAAATTTAATATTAGTTATATTTGTGATACCGGCCATTTCATTGATGAAAATTGGCTTTTGAATAAAAGAATTTTAAGTTTTACTAGGCTTGAATGGTCACATAGTGGCCCAGCTATTGCTGCAAGTATTTTAAATACTTTATATTAGTTTTGATAATGCAAGCAATAATGATTCTGCAATAAATACTTTAAAATTCCAATTAAGACCATGCTTAAATGGTAAATTATTTCATATTAGATGTGCATGTCACATCTTAAATTTATGTATTCAAAATGCCTTGAATATTATTTCTACTCATATTTCAAAAATTAGAAATTGTATTATATATATAAAAAGTTCAGGGGTAAGAAAACAAGAATTTAAATATTTATGTCAAAATTATGGTTTAAAATATAAACATTTTATATTAGATGTAAAGCATAGGTGGAATTCTACCTATGCTATGTTATAAAGTTGTATATCTCATAAACAAATTCTTTCTGATTTTTATAATTCAAAAATGCCTAATGATATGATATTTGAGAAAGATTGGGAAATGACAGTCTATATAAGAGATTTTTTAAAACATTTTTATGATGCAACTAATGAATTATTTGGAATTTATTATCCAACTAGTTGTAATTTACCTTATCAATTAATGGTAATTAGTGATTGTTTTGCAAAATATAGAAATAATCCACAATTTCAATGTATTGTTGAAATAATGGAAAATAAATTTAAAAATATCGGGAGAGCATTTCTCCCCTTTATTGTTTGGCTACAATATTAGACCCTAGGATTAGGAAGGACGACTTAGATATTTTACTTGAATCATATTGTGAAAATATGAATATTGATATAGGAAATAAAAAAGAAGAAATTAATAATTTATTATTTAAAATGTACAGTTTGTATGAATCTAAAGTTGTCGGAAATGCACATCATCTTCTTCTACTTCTGAGTTTGAGCCCAGTAGTAGAAGATAAAAACTTTTTTATTTAATAAGTAGAAGGCATAAATCTACTAGTTCTACAACAAGTTTATTTACTGAATTTAATTTTTATTTACAAGCAATTTTTTCTAATTTAGGCGAAGGATCAAATAATTTTGATATTTTAACCTGGTGGAGTGAACATTCGAAAAATTATCCAGTTCCCACCGCCATGACATGTGATCTGCTAACCCCTCCGGTGTCTACAGTTCCATCGGAGTCTTGTTTTAGTGCAGGTATCAGGGTGCTTGATGACAAAAGAAGCTGCATGAATGATGAAAGCATAAAGATGTGCATTTGCTTCAAGGATTGGCTTGATGTAGAAGATAGATTACAAGACAAAGGAGGGCATGATACTACACCAGATATTTCACTCGAAGCAGATGATGAAAGTCATGAATGATTCATGAATTTGACTACTTGTATAGAATTTTTTATTTTTTCAAATCTTTTTAATTTTATTTAATTTATTTGATTTTTTTAAATTTTTAATAATGTAATTTTGTATTTTCAATTTATAACCATATTGTATTTTTTATATTTTATTAATTTATTCCATTTTCATATTTCATTCATCCAAGTATCCAATGATTCAATCATTGTATTTGCAATTTGTACCATTCAAATTTAAATGAAATAAAATTCATATTTTTCTTCCAATTTGTTATTCCATCATTCTTATTTCAATTTGGTTAAGTAATTTTTTTTTGCATTTATGTGTTAGATAACTTAGATTTATCATTTCTTAATTTTTTAAATAGTTCTCAATTCCCAAAGTTCAAAGGAAAGTTAAACATTTTAGTTTTATAATTTTACTTAGAAAAGAAATCAAAATTAAAAAACAAAACAAAACAAAAAAAAACAGTGCAACCCGGTTTGGCCTAGGCCCAAGGCCCGCCCTGTAGCCCGACTTGGCCCAGGCCCACAACACGAGACGACACAGCACGGGCCCACCTGGGCCTGGGCCATGGGTCATGCCGAGCCGACCCCCAAAATTTCTACCGGGAGGGCAGCATGGCACGACCCACCTTTTGTGCAGGCCACTCACAGCCCGGCACATCCCACTTTACACCTCTAATTAAATCCATTGATGTTAGAACAATTGATGTATCTTATAGTAAATTTTGAGTAGATTTGAAGCTAAACACCGGTTAGTATACCATTAATAAAATTATTATATGATATCTACATGTCTGAAGCTCTTAGTATTGTTGATTATGGTGTAGCTCTTTATACAAACAATTAAAATGTTTATTTTTTATATCTTTATACCTTAGTCATAATTATTTCAACATTAGATTTAATGTCCTTGATGCATTTTGGTATTGGACACTTTTAAATGTTGAGTAGAAAAAATATGGGAATTTTCAATATTATTTATATTTTTAGGTATGATCAATAAATAGTCTTATCATAATCATTCACAACAACATCATCATCATCATCAATCATTCACAACAACGACATCATCATCATCAACATTACGATCAATAATACATCTATATATAATCCACCACATCATAATCATATTTCTTCATCTTGATCCACTGAACTGAAACACTAGATCTAAATCTGCATCTAATTCCACAGTGGGGTCATATAACAAAATGACCAGATTATCATCAAGCTTGACCGATTGCATTTTCATGGGATATTAACATTTTTGGGTGATTAATTTTATGGCTTTATTTGGCTGGCAGAGAGAGAGAGAGACCTGGCTTCTCTCCATCTCAAATGCCAGTCTGGACTTTTTCCCTCCAACTCCCGAGTCCCTGTCTCTCTCCCACTACCTATAAATACTTGCTCCAACATTTGGTGCGCCTTGGAGGGAGAGAGAGAGAAGATAGAGAGATTGGGGAAGAGGAGGAGAAGAACAGAACCCTGCGATCCCACCACCACCATCATCTCTACCCTCGAAAGCAATTAAAATCAGGGAAATATTCATTTCTAAGTTTCTAACCAATGAGTCTCTTTGGTCTCGGAAGCAGGTATAAACCATCATTTACACGAATTCTTTAATGTCGTTGGTTTTGCTTTCCTTCAATTGTTTCTTCTTCATCCTTTTAGTGTCGTAGAATTGATGGTTGGAGTTATGTCGTTGATAACCTTTAATTATTTCTGATCGTTCGATGTCCATGCTGGAGATTTTGATTGTTTTAAGGATCTAGACTTTGAATTGTTCTTGTTTTTATTGGGTTGTGATTTCATGAATTGTTAATCAAGTTGAAGGATTTTTCTAGTGCCCGATCCGAGCTCCTTGAATTCTCCTTCTATCATCAATCGATCAGAAGAAAGAAGAAAAGTGAGAAATTAAATTAAAAAAAAAAGCTCAAATATTAGGCTCTGAGGACGTACGAGCCTTTGAGAAACAAAACATTTACCGATTTAGAATCTCGGTCTTGTCTACTTTTGTATGACACGTGAGCTATGGAACATCTTTGTGTGCGCGCGTAACGTTTTCTTTTTTGGTGATTAAGTAGTCTTTCACACGTTTTATAACTCGGGCTTTGGTAGATTTGGTTGGATTATCCAATTACCGAATGGGAAGAGAAGGATTTATGTCGTTGTTGTCTGAAGCCGTTTAATTTGTTCTTACAATTGAGTACAAATAATCTTACTTTAGATTCCTCTGGCCGGAGCTTGGGATGATATTTGTTTTTCGGTGGAGCACTGATGCATGCATGCCTGATGTAGTGTAGATAATGAAGTAAAACACGTATTTTACATTTTTTGAAATAAACAGAGGGTCAACTCAACTATATATTGATCACAACAAGCATGCAGATCAAATGAGCTTATGAAAAATTAGGTCTTCTTCCCAATTTCTCATTCGATCTCTGATAAAGGATGAAAAAGCATTCATCTGGATCTTCTATGAGCTATGTATAGCATCATGAGTTGTGAAACCAATAATGTTGCATCGACTCTCTTAAGCGGATCAAGTGTCTGTGTTGGACATGTACATACTCAAATGAATTCTTGATGAACACTTTAATATATAACATTTTTCTTTATCCACTTGCTTAGCTTATTTGACTTAAATAAATATCTAACGTGCACAATGAATGCATTATTGTTTTCTACAAGACATTTATTAAGTAACAAAGATAAGGTTCTAGACCTTTTCTTTTACTAGCACTAAATGAGTGAACTATATATGACATATCTGAGGGAGAGCTGCCTGTCTAATATGGACGATGATGTGGGTTTTTCATCCCTCCACATTAACTGACATAGACTGTATCCACCTAAATAAGACTTTGTTGTGTAGTACGTCCTTAAAATTATTTCCTCTACAGGAAACATAATTTTTTGCTACATTTCGGCTTTTCTGTTTCTTCTTCATTTCTCTCTCTCTCTCTCTTTCTTGTGGTAAAAGATGAAGTCCCAAGGAGGGATATGAAGGTTATTATAAACAAATCAAGATTAATGATGAAGGTTAACTGCTTAAGGGTTAAGAGGTATATAGGAATAAAAACTTTATCTTCTTCTATTAAAAAAAAACCCTTTATCTTCAATAATCTTTTAGGCTGTATTTGCCCTTTGCCTGCCTTGAAAGAAAAATAGAGAATCAGAAAGTTGAGAAAGTTCATAAAAATAAAACAATGGCCCCCCATTGTGTGTAGTACACTTCTGTTACATTCAAAAAAAAGAAAAAGTTCGTAAGGCTGGTTTGGAAGGAGTACAAATACAAATATGTAGAGTGCAAAACCTTCTAATTTCTATTATTTTGTATGTATTTGTACTTTGCATATTTGTATTTGTACTCTTTCCAAACTGAGCCTAGTTACAGTAGTGCAGTCTAACAGCCATGGTTCTTGACCGTCATAAAGACATAAACCAACCAACCATATGGAAAACTGGGGCAAGACCCAGTTCTCACAAAGTACAAGGTCTAATGCTAGATTTTGTATGTGGGGCTGTATTTAGGGGTGGCCACGAGCTGAACCTTTCACGAGATATTCGAATTCGGCTCATGAAAAAACCGAGCTTCGAGCCCAATATATAGACTCGTTTGCTAATCGAGCCAAGCTCGAGCCTAGTGAAGCTTGGCTCTTGAGGCTCGTGAGCCTAGTATTAAATAAATAATTTTTATTATATATATATACATATACATATATGTAATAAATTATTTTATTATATATAATAATAATTTTATTTTTTATGTATAATAGTAAATAATTTTTATAATTATTTTTTGTATATATATAATATTAAATAATTCTTATAATTCTTAATTTTTTGTCTGAAAAATAAAAAAAGTAATTTTATACATATAATTTTTATTTTTCAAAAAAAATTGACTTATAGTTGAGCTCGAACTTGCGAGCTATGAACCGAGTCGAGTTCAAGCTCGAGCCTAATACTATTCTTGTGAGTCAAGCTTGAATAGCCAAGTATTCGGCTCGACTTGACTCGAATCCACCCCTAGTTGTATTTGCTTGGGGACAATAAATGATTTTCTTGAAAACTGGCGTTTCATTATAAAATGAAGGGTCATTTACTAAAGCACCCCCTATAGTTTCATGAATTTACTAAGACCTATCCTATAGTTTGTACTTTATAAAAACATCCCTTATAATTTGTAATCAATTTACTTAATGGACATTCCATTAGATGAAAGTGGAAAATGATAGTTTTAACACTAATATCCATTCAAATAAATTTAATAAAAAAAATTAAAAACAAAAATATCATTTTTGCCCCTAATAAAACACAAACAACCACTCTATTTTTCTCTCTAATTGTCACTTTTGTTTTCTATACAAAAAAGTGTTAGGGGTACTTTTGGATTAAACAACCATGGATTCATACCCTTGAACATTTTCCACTCAGTTTAAAGGTACTTTTGGAATAAACAACCATGGGTCCATGCCCTTAAACATTTTTCACTCAGTTTAGGTGATCATGTTACTATTTTCATATGGCAAAACAAATAGTTCTTAGTAAAAGGTCGATTAAGTAAATAGGTTGCAAACTATAAGGGGTGTTTTAGTAAAATACAAACTATAGGATAGGTTTAAGTAAATATGTGAAACTATAAGGAGTGTTTTAGTAAAATGCAAACTATAGGGTAGATTTAAATAAATATGTTACAATTTTGTTGTTGTTGTTGTTATTATTATTATGTTGAAACTGGTGGATGCAAGTATTAGTGTTGTTACTTTGGCCCAAAGAATCATTTTTTTCTTATAAATTTGATACACTATACTAAACAGGAATCAGAGAACATTTCGTCCCAAAAAGAATGCTCCATCAGGAAGTAAGGTTAGTGCTTAGCTGCTCTGTTTTGTTATCTATTTCTTCATCTCTTCTAGTAGCTGCCTTTTCTGTATCATACTTGATTACTTATTTTATATGCAGGGTGCACAGCTTCAAAAACACATTGATGCTACCTTGGGTAGTGGGAACTTGAGGGAAGCTGTACGGCTACCTCCTGGAGAGGATCCTAATGAATGGATGGCTGTAAACAGTAAAACTCTTAAACTTACCAACTAAAAGAGTACAATTGCTGCTAAGTTCAATAATATATAGTATGTTTCTCTATGTCATCAAATTAATCCACCAAGTATGATGAGCTGCCTGATTACATTGCTGGTTCTTATTGTGTTCCAAGTTTTTCTAGTACAAGTAATTCATTCTTTGGTTTTCTATGACTATAATACTTAGGGGGTGTTAACGGTATTCGAAAATCTAATTTCGAATTCAATATTCGATATAATTGAATCGAATTCGGATAATTCGAATATTTAATCAGTCGAATTCGGATATAATCTGATTCGATTCGATAAATATTCAAATTTGATTGATTATTTAATTCTTATATATAATATATATAATAATTAAGTTATATAAATAATTTATATATTTATATATTTTATATCAATAAAATATTTATTTTATATATTTATTAATTATCTAAAATAATTAATTAATCGAATTCGAATCAAATCAAATATTCAAAATTTAATCGAATTTGAATTCGAATATTAATTTTCAATATCCGGTGGATATCGAATCAAATTCGGATATCAAATTCGAATTCAGACATTGCCTGATCTAATTAGAATTCGATCCGTTTACACACATTATGATACTATGATACAAAAATACATTTTTATCAGCAACAATAAAAACATTTGAAAGCCATGGGATTATAAACCATCACAAAGCAGTCAAAGTCTACAGTTTGTAAAACATTTGAAAGCCATTAGCCATGGGATTATAAACTAACCCCAGGCCTGGCCTTCCCCGTTCTAATTCTAATGTGGTGTAGTTCACTCCCAATCTTGCTAAGCTGTTGGGCAAAATATTTACAGATATTGAAATTCATCTCAGATGAGTGCATTGCAACCTGGGTGACTGGGATTCTTATCTTGCAAACAGCCTCTCTGTATGTGGAGGGGGTAACGTTGCATGCATCTGTCCCTCCCCAGACCCGCATTGGCGGGAGCCTAGACCACGGGCCTAAACTCTAACATCGGAGATTATAAGAGCTGATCTCTTTGGGAGTATCTTTTTATTGTGTATTCTATGTACTATATCATTGTACATTATTTTCTTATTGTTCTTTTATTCTTTCTTGAGAGTTTAGACTTGAGAAGGGTACAATAGTCCTTTCCTATCTTTTGTATCTCATTAGTATATAATACAACTTGTGTGGCCTTAGACAAACCCTCCAAATTTGTTCTCTCTCTTCTCTTGTATGAACTTTCATGGTATCAGAGTAGGCAACTTGCATCATCTTTTAGTTCAAGTTTAAAAAGGATTACATTGAAGCTTTCTAAGACTATTTGGTGGCTGTTCTGATCAATACAAACTCAGCAATCAGCACTGTTTTTCTGGAGTCCAATCAGGTTGGACTTTTCTTTTTTTCTTTACTGATTGTTCCGATCACTGTGTGCTCTTGGATTCTAAGTTGTCCTGGGCCCTTGCACTTATTCCTTCCCTTGGATCGAAAACCAGACTGATTTCGAAGGGTTTTGATCCCTTTCTTCTCATCAATAGCTTCCCTATATTTCCGTCTCTTTTGAACCTGTACCTTCCTTTTTTGGACTGCTGCCCAATTTCTTAGTATTTTGGGTTATTTTCTGTGAAGGCTGATTTCTTTGGTGCCGGACCTCTTCTACTGTCTATTACTTTTACCATCAGATCTAGTTTTAATTGGTTTATAGCAACATTTCTTCTTATTTCTTGCTTTAATATCTGTTTCCTTGCCTTGGAGTGTGTTTACTTGGTATTTCATTTCCGGAATGGCCTCGGATAGAAGAGATATTCTTGCCATAAGGTTTGATGAAGTAATTATTCACTGTGGAAGTTTCACTTCTAGATTTGTGTTGATGGGCAGGGTCTTTGGGGTAATATTGATGACTGATCACCCAAACCTAATGTATCTAATAGCAAGGGGCTTAAACAATGGAATATTGATAATGCCAAGATTGTTTCCTGGATTCTTGGATCAATTGAGACTAATATAGCCATTCCAATGAGGGGCTTGAAAACTGCAAAGGAGATATTTATCAACAATCTAACCTTTTTCAAATAGTATCGGATAGAGACTTAAATCTATGGACTTGAGTATGAACTGATACGTATGGGTGAATCTTCAACAGCATGTTACTTATCAAAAAAAAAAAAATCTTTAACAGCATGTTGTGTTAAGACTATGAAAGAACATTTTGACAAAAGAAAGACCATGCATTTCTTGATGCACTTGTGACGAATATGAGGTAATCAGATCAAATATTTTGAGTAGAGATACTACTCCAAGCTTGGATTTGCTTTTGGGAGAACTTTTGAGGGAGGAGACAAGGCTAAAAAGGATCCAAGCCTAAAAATAGATCCAAGCCGAAGCAGAATTTGGGAGCAGAAGCAGTTTTTCTAACAAATAGATCCAAGCCTAAAAAGGATCTATCCAATGTGCAATGCTATGAATGTAAGGAGTACGGCCATGTGGTTTTCTCATTGCAAAAATAAGAATATATGTACCTATTGTAAGCAGAAGGGACACATAATAACTAAGTGTCCTACATGTCCACATAAGGGAAGTATTTGTGGTTAAACAATGGGTTAGCACAAGGCTTTCTAGATTTGCATTGAGAATCCGACTGGTGGTGGCACGATTCCCTCTTCTCCACTTAGGCCTTCAACCAAGAGTGAGTCTTCTAGTATTCTTACTAAGAATAAGGTGCTGAAATTAGTATCTATAGCTATTTTTATTGTGTTTTCATCTATTAGGTTGTCTAGTAAGTCTTCTCTTTATTGTTGTTCACCTAATCATGTTTAAATAATTGATTTTGGTGTCTCTAATCACATGATAGGAACACATCCTGGTCATTATCTTAAGCCCTAGTCTCTTAATAAACATAGCATTACAACCAATGGTGAAAAGCTATAAAACATTAGTTGTAGTGATTTGTCTTTACATACTTAATTCTTCTCAGTTTCACCTTCCTAAGACACTTCTTGTCCCTAAACTTACGACCAATTTGATTTCAGTTGGACAGTTTGTTGACGATGGTAACATTGTATATTTTTCTTATGATGGTTGTTTGATTAAGGATCAATGCACTAGGACAGTAAAGGGGAAGGGGCATAGACGTGGATGATTGTTTGCCTTAGAGTTCGAGAATACACTTGTTTCACCTAATCTATCTTATTTACTCTCCACTACACCTAGTTCAAAACTTATTTGCAGAAATAATGAGTGACACTTATGGCAAAGGCACCTTGGCCGCCCTTTTGCTAATAAACTTGATTTTTTGTTTTGTTTTGGCTATTTGTCTTCTAAAGTTACTTTTTTTGCTCATGTTAATAAATCCTACATTTCTTGTGGTTTGAATAATGTAGTGTATTGCCTTGTCCTACTTCTACTGCACATTATGATGCTCCTTTTAAGTGGACTCATAGTGATGTCTGGTCGTCTCTAGTGATTTCATAGATGGGTTATAAATACTATGTGATTTTTGTTGATGATTTTACCTACTATACTTGGATATATTTTCTTAGACAAAAACCAGAGTTTCTTCTACTTTTAAACTTTTTCTAGCCGTGGTAAAGAACCAATTTGACACAATTATGGGAATATTATGTTTAGATTTAGGGGGGGAATACATTGATGGTGACTTCCAATTCTTTCTAAGGGAACATGGAATACATTCACAAAATCCTTTCCCCGGAAGTTTGGAACTCCACAATAGAATGGGGTAACAAAATGCAAAATAGGCATATATTGAATGTTGTGAGAACCTTGTTGCAAGATTCTCATGCTCCTACTTCATTTTGGGTGGAGGCAACTAGTACATCTGTTCATCTTATTAATTTGATTCCCTCCTTTGTTTTTGGTAATACCTCATCATTCCAAAGTTTGTTCCATTGGTCACTAGACTTCTCTTCTCTTCATATTTTTTGGTGTGTGTGCTTTGTCCACCTTCCTCCCCATGAACAAACTAAGCTCACTCCTCAATCTGCCCTTTGTGATTTTATGGGATATAACTCAAATCATAAAGGATTTTCTTTGTTATGACCCTCAAGCCCATTGAATAAGGATTTCCAGAAATGTTGTGTTTCTTGAAAATATCTCCTTTTTTAGTCATATTGCAAAGCGCCTTGTTCCTTCCATTTTGGTTTTATGCTCCTTTGATATTATAGGTTCTTTGGACTCCTCATAAGCTCTGCTCTATCTCTCCTTCAATATGCTAGAAAGCAGATAACTACCCAAGAATCTACTACCCTAGCCCCAACACTACCGGTTCAAGGTCCTTCCTCCTCTAACACTATAACCTCCTTGTGTACCTCTTCTTTTGATGCTTTACCTTATCTTTCCCCACCTTTACATCATTCTACTCGTATCTCTAAGCCTCTTCCCATAGCTTATTTTCTACAATTTTGTCATCTACAGGTATTCCTAAGACTTAGTGGCAGGCTATGGCTGTTTCACATTGGAAAGAAGCTATGATGCTGAAATATAGTCTCTTCTAGAAAATGATACCTGGATTTGGTTCCTAATCCTCCAAATGCTTCCATTATTGGCAGTAAATGGATTTATTATGTGTAATTGAACTCTGATGGAAACCTTGATAGGTACAAAGCTTGTTTGGTGGCACAAGGATATAAACAAGAGTATGGCATCAATTATGAGGATAATTTGTTCTTGTTGCCAAGATGACCACAGTTCACATTGTGCTTGCAATCTCAGCTATCAAACATTGGGACATTCATCAGTTGGATGTCATGAGGGAGATAGTGTTTATGAAATTCCTTATAGGATATTGTGGTGGTCCTACTTTGGTTTGTCACCTTAAGAGATCCCTATATGGTCTTAAACAGTCTCCTAATGTTTGGTTTGAGAGGTTTCATTATGTCATTATAGATGTCGAATTTATTCAGACTCCTTCAGATTATTCACTCTTTATCCTCACTTGGCCACAAGGCATTACTCTCCTACCATTGTATGTGGATGGCATTCTTATTACTGGAGATGATCATGAGGGTATTATTCATTTGAAGGATCTCCTTAGTTATACTTTCAAGATGAAGGATCTTGATCTTCTTATCTATTTTTTGGGCTTGGAGGTAATTCGTTCTTCTCAGGATATTTTGTCAATCAGCAGAAGTATGCTGCAAATTTAGTCAAACTTGACTCATCTTACAAATAATAAGCAAGTTGATACTTAATACAACTTGAGGTCAATCTAAAGCTATCCAAAGATGATGGTGGACCTCTTAAAGATGCTATTATTATCGGCATCTTGTGGGTAGTCTTATTTGTCATCATGACTCATTTTGATATCTCGTATGCTGTCCAAGTGGTTAGCCAATTTGTCTCCTCTCCTCGACAACCACACATGTCAGCTGTTCTTGGATTATTCCCTGTCCAAAATTTAATTTCCATGGCCCATCACTTAGATAGAAACCATCCAACTGCTACCTAACCATCCCCTTCAACAAAAAGCCTATTCCAGCATGTATCAACAGCTAATTTTGGTTGTGGAAGAAGTGTGTGGAACTCTGTCATCATAATTCTGTCCTCATGATCTCAAACCCCCTTCTCCTGATTGTCCCAAATTGCCAATGGAACTCCCATCAAAGTTCAGTTTTAGAAGACTCCTTTCTGTCCTTTCCCAAGTTTTCACTACCACCTGTCTTTAAGGAGAAAAGCTCATCACATTGAACCACCCCCTTAAGATAGAACCAACCATTTTCCCTTTAAATTCTTCTCTTGTCATCAACCTATGTAGTACCTGCACCATGCATGGCTCAATAATGAGCATTTCTTCTTGAAACTATCTCAAATATCCAAGCATTTTTCTTACAACCCTATAAGACTGCTACCCTAATGCAATGCCAAAGAAGCTTTGTCCTCTTGGTGTTTATAGAATTAAGCTGAGAGGAAAAGAGCCCAATGATTTCTGAGGGAGTAGGCCAAATAAATCCAAATGAAGTATAAAGAAAAAGGTTATATACCTTTGTAATGAAAGGCAATCAAGGAAGAGATGTAAGCATCCTCACACTTTGAAAATAAAGGATACATGCATGAGGAGACAAACACCAAGATGCCCTTCTATGATGGAGCATATCACCTGTATTGATAATCAACAAGGAGGCTTCCCAGCAAAACACTTTGACCTTTAAGGGGCTAGACCATCCCACATTGTCTTCACCAGGAAAGAAGGGGACCCAATAGGATTTTCATCAAGGGATTTGAAGAAAGATGAGCATGAGAAATGCTGTTGCTGATAAATACAAAAACAGAGCATGAGAAATTTCGCAGAGGATCAGGAACACAAACTCTTTGATCTGATTCATCAAGAGTCAGGGGAACGGATTTTAAAATATCAAGGAGTTGGATAATATCTACATATTCATGATCCCTTGGACCAAGATCAAAACCAAAATCCCAAGATATCCCCAATGGGTTGGGTTTAAAACAATATGTTCAATTTATCACTTTTATAGTTCCAGTTCCAGTATGCATATTTGTGTTGGTAACATTTGATCTTTTTTTTATATGGAAAAGAACAATTTGTATAGTATGCAGTGTACTTTGTGTTGCTTGGTTGCTATTATTTTCGGTGCAGCAATTAATCCAGTAGGGACTTATCAATATTTCAGGTATCCTTGGATTTTTGTTTTTAACATATACCGTGCCCAATTGGCAGTACTACAATCTTTTTTTTTTTATCAGAGTATCACACTGTCTTTTATCCAGTTACATGAATGTGCTGACATCTATGAAATGTAATTCTAGTTTTCGAATTGGATTTTTTCTTTTTGTTTTGATGGTTATTCTTTGTTTCCTTTTTTTCAGCTGTAGACTTCTTCAATCAGGTCAACATTTTATATGGCACTCTTACCGAGTTTTGCACGCCATCCAGCTGTCCCACAATGACTGCAGGACCAAAGTATCTTTCTACCAGTCCCTGGCCTAAATTCTCTTTCTGCTTGTAATGATATGAAAGTGGTTTGCAGTTTGATCTTTTTTAGTGAAGATTCTATTCCATATTTTTGATAAACAAATCTATTACATAGTTTTATACTAGTTATTCATGACACATGTAAGTTTCAAGTTTGTGCTGGGTGGCTTCAGGCTTAGATTTCATATTTTATCTCAACATATATGAACTAGTTATCAAGTGGGTAAAAATAAAAATTAAAAACAAAATGAAAAAAACGGTAACCTGAACCAGTATAGACTGATAAAATTATTTAGTCATCAAGTTTTCTAGCATCAACAATATTTTCCATATGTTTGCTCTTGGGTTATTCTAGACAGTCCTAACTGGGATAGACCAAGTTAAAGTTGATAATTTAGGAATGAGGATGGTAATACAACTGAAGAATATGGACCATTCATGCAATTGAGCTAGGCCTTGGTAGCTTCTGACCCAACAACAGTCCTAGACCTGGAGATCCCCTGTACTGTTGCCCCAGGGGCTATCATGTTATAATCCAATGCTTATAGGAAACTATAATATTTAATCAAGAAAATTGCCCACTCAAGCAGGTTCACAGGAGAAGTTCTTATTTGGTGGTGGAGCATAAAAAGGATTCCTACTTGTATTTTGCATCCTTTTCACCTATTAGATTTTCTTTGGACTTTGGACAGACTTGGAAGTTGGAATCCTTTCTTCCTATTTTTCCCCCTGCAAACTGGCCTCCACTTCTCCAGTAACTTCTTTATTTTTGTGTAAGGTAGTTTGATTAGGCCCTACACCAGCAAAATTCAAGGTCTTTTGTCAGGATGCAATTCCCAGAGTCATTAATACAGGTAAATGAGGCAGTTAGGAGAAAGAATGATATCTTTCATCCCTTTGTGCATCCTTCATAAGAAGAGTCTTGAGGACACTAACCACCTCTTCTTGTCCCTTCACTCTGGAAATTCAGATTTAGGGAAGCATTTTCTGCCTCTATTTGTTAATGGAGATATGTTTCTATTACACTCTTCTTACTATTTACATATGTAAGCTAATGGATGGCTCAAGTGGCCAGACTTTTTTCTTCCCCCAAAACTTTGCTCTCTCTTCTCTCCATTCTCTTCTTATTTTCTTTGTTATTCTTTATTACAAGTTTAGTTTTCTAGTATTTGGAACCCATTGCATCTCATCTTCAGGCATATTGAATCTCATCATCATCATCCAAGCTTTATCCCATCTATATGGGGTCAGCTTCAGGCATATTGAATCTATGGTCATCTAATTCCTATTTCCTACTTGGCTCCACCAGCTAAGAGGGGAAGGATCCTATTGGAGGTATACATGGGCAGTAGTATTCTAGAGTGCTTTGGAAGAAGCATAATTAAATACAAGCTGGCTTACCAAACTATGTTGGAAAAGGCATATACAAGTTGGTTCCCAAATTATTTTGAACTCTTTTCCTATCAAACCAAGCTTGCTTACCAAATAAAGTACCTGTAAAGTTAATTATCAGTATAAGACCACTAGGTTGTGCTATTGTACCCATATGAGACTTTCAGGTTCTTTTATCAGGAATTTCTATCAACTCTGAAGAATTTAGTGCAAAATATAACTCCCAAATTAGCAATTCCCAATGGTCCTTAACACGTGAATAGTCAACCTTGTCCACTCCCTCTCTTGCTGGAAAGTCCAGTACAGAATTAGTTTATCTTTTGACTTGGCTGAACAAGGCATCCATAATGCAAGCCAAGGATCTACCTTCCCTAAGGAAATGATGTATTGACCATAGACCTGAGACACCTTCCAGCATCCACCCTATCACCACTTGGAAGTCTGCCAACTTCTAACCTGGAGCACAGCTGAATCAAGCCTCTGGAAGTTCTTTTTAATTTTTCTCATATGTAATAGGTCTCTGCTTATTATGCATTTGCCAAGCAAGTGCTCTAAGGAACTGGATGTTCCACAGGTATGAATACAGATGGGCTGATGGGGTTCAAATAAAGAAACCCATTGAGGTATCTGCACCAAAATATGTTGAGTATTTGATGGACTGGATTGAATCTCAGCTCGATGATGAATCAATATTTCCTCAAAAATTGGGTATGTAAAGTTCCATGGTGTTAATAATACTAGAGCGTTTTTTTCATGAAAATATTTCATGCTGATCTATTTCCTGCCACAGGGGCACCATTTCCTTCAAATTTCCGAGATGTTGTTAAGACAATCTTCAAAAGACTATTTAGGGTATATGCTCACATCTATCACTCACATTTTCAGAAGATTGTCAGTCTGAAGGAAGAAGCTCATTTGAATACTTGCTTTAAGCATTTTATTTTATTCACATGGGTAAGCTCTCATGCTTTGAGGTTTTTTTTTTTTTTTGTAATTTTTTACTCAAAAATATAGAAGCAAATTGCTCTTAATAACAGACTTTCATGCTTCTATTCACATGGAGATGCTTGACCTAAGACCGTTTTGGTTATACAAAATCATATACATGAAATAATCTCTAGGTTGGCCAACACCTTCACTTAAGGGTGTGCATATTATAGCCACATAGATAGCCTGCAAGAGCTTTCTTCTATTCAAAAAAGGAGCTGAACAAAATATTTTTTTGCTGGACTTGGTGGGGAACCTTGCCAGAGATTACAAGAAACTAAACATACTGCAAGTATACTTGTTTCTTTATTCAGATGGCTTAGAAATCTATGCTTTCAGTGTAACATTGGAAAAACTATATTTCTGGTATGTAAACAGCAGCAATTGCTGAAGTTGCTGTAACTGAAAGACTTATTTCTTTGTCTTTTAGTTGATAGAATAATTAAATAATAAAATTTTCAAGAGTATAGTGTTGAGGGCCCGGGAATAGGATCTCGTCACGGGTTGGTCCACGGGGAAAACCTCCTGTTTTCCCTTGTTCCTTCCTGCTCTTGATGAACCTATCTTGACGCCTCTGGTGATTTGTTCAAGAGATCACCAACTCTCCTAACTCACTTCTTCAACTGAATATTCGGTATCTCATTCAATAATGGGGTCTCCTTAAATAGGAGATTACAAGAGTCCTAATCAAAGGGAGTCTCCTTGCTGAATAGGGAGACTTCCAGTTCTATCTTACTAAGGATAAGATAAGCTAATCCTAATCTGATAAGCTACTAACAAGATAAGATAAGATAAGCTAAGCTAATCCTAATCTGATAAGATAAGCTAATCCTAATCTGATAAGCTACTAACAAGATAAGATAAGAAGAGATAAGAACAAGCAAAATGAGCTAATCTAATCTAGATAACGTTGTTGTTGCCGAACTGGGTAGGATGAGCATCACTGAATCACTGCTGCTGCTGGCGGTGGGTYAGGTGCTTGTTGCTGCCGGCGGCGATGGTACGTCTTCCCGAGGAAGGCGTCCATAACATATAGTAATCTAACTTTTCTGCCAAAAAGAAAGTGATCTAACATTAAGGAGCCTGTGACCTCCTTAAAAACTTATTCACTAAAAGACAAAGCAATAAGCTTTTCAGTTCAGCATTTTCAGCTGTTATCAAACAGTCCCTAGTGTAACAAACTGTTCTGAGAAAGAATGAATCTAACATCCAAACTGGGCTTTGAATCAGAATTTTTGTTCCTGAGTTGCATTTCAGGTTTTTGGATACTAAAATTAACTAAAGTTGCATTTGATAATCATATTTCATCGGCTTTGTGTGATGCAGGAATTTCGTTTGATTGAAAAGGAAGAGCTTGCACCTCTTTATGACCTGATTGAATCCATCCTTTCATGCTAAAGATTCTTTTTGTTGGACATGACGATGGCTAAACTGGATACTGTAAATGATGGCCATACCTTGTTTGACATGCCTAACCTCAAGTGGTTGTGTGGTTCTATTTGTATTCTTTCAGTCGTTTAGGCTCAGTTTGGAAGGAGTACAAATGCAAATATATAGAGTGCAAAACCTTATATTTTGTATTATTTTATATGTATTTGCACTGTACATATTTGTTTTGTACACAACTTGGATAACATCTTGTTTTGTATATTTGATTGATGAAAGAAAAATGTCTGTGTGTGTCTCTCTCTCTAGGCAGCCAGGCAGGCACAAGTGTTCAACTAATAATTTGGTGGATGTGACGATGGTGGATACACAATTCATCAACCAACCTCGTCCACGATATTTTACTACTTTGTTAGTAACGTGCTTACCGGGTGTTTAGAGACTGTATCTGTATGTCCGGATGTGAACAGAAGAGAAAATCTATACTGCTGGAAGGGATTCGACCAGTCAACCCCGGGTGGTGACGGTATCATAGTTTCCTTTCCTAAGTTTCTCTACCTGAACAAAATCATATGTTTTTTTCTTTTAGAGAAATTTATGGTCTATTTGCCCTCAGAAACTTTTGGTTTTCTAAATGTGTTGTTCCAAACCCTCGGTTATGCTACACCACCCCTTGAATTGTGATGGAATTTCCCCTTGACATTGTTCCCAACTGTACAAACTTATAAAGATTTCTGAGGTGGATCGAACAAAAAAAATCCCTTCTAATTGTTGAGGCACATGCTCCGAGGCTTCTTGGGCTTGCTAGAATGTGATAAAATATTGGAGATTCCCCTTTTTTTCGAGGTGGGATGTGCTCCTCACACAGGGAGCCTCACAACGACCTCACAGCCACAGGCACATCCCATCGTGCATTGGGAACATCTCCTGTAAATAATAACACAGCGGGATGTGATAAAATATTGGAGATGTTCCCAATGCACAGCGGGATGTGCCTATGAGGTCAGTGTGAGGAATAGATCCAGTCTCCTTTTTTTCATGGTCTGGTGGCTTCAATGGGCTACACGATAGGGTGCCCATCCCTCGCGCCTATAAGGCCATATCCCTCTCCAACCTCAGTGGCACTGGGATTTGATACTAAATCTCTGCGCTACTTTGGATCCCCTGCCCACAAACTCTTCCTACGTTAAGTTTAGATGTCCTGCCCACAAGATACTTTTGAACGTGATCTTACACCACCCATTTCATACATGGTGGATCCCAGTTGTATTGTAGGTCTCAGTCTCATGTGAGTTGTGTAGTGTCGGATCATGTTGGAAAGTGTTATGGGAGGAGATTCCAAACTCTCCACATCCCTATCCATTAGGTAATTGGTTCTGTTTCACCTTGAAATTGCTTTTTGGTCAAAAATCGTTGATTTGGTAAACAATCCAATGACCTGAGCGGTCAAACCATCAACCTAGACAACAGTTTTGGTCATTTTTATTTTATTTTTTTTAGTCAAAACAGGCCATCCGTTCGAACTGGATGGTCAAACCATTCAACTTGGGAACCGGTCCCCAAAATGGTTCAGTGTCTGGTTCAGTTTTAAAAACCTTGGGTAGGAGTTCTGGTGTTCATTTTGCATAATAACATGCCGTAAATTCAATTCAAATGCTATGTGAAGTTAGTGATTTTTTAGCTGCTTTAATTATGAAAATTTTTGGAATGAGTATATGTATATCCAAGGTTAAAGGTATCAACATTCATTCATGTGATATCCAATTTTTGGAACTTAACTATTTTTTAAAGGGAAAATTATAGTCAGAGCTAGCTCAACATTTAAAATGACACTGTAGGTTGGTTCGGAAACCAACAAAACTTTGACAGTCGGTTGTATATTTCAAATTATAAAAAACCCCGCCATGTCATCGAAGGCTTATGTGGTTGTTTCCAATATGGGATTCTTAATCCATGTTGGACACAGTTTAGATTATTTGAAAATAAAAAAAAAAGGGTTTTCACTCTCTCCCACTCCCTTTATCTTTCGATCTCCTTTCCACTCTCACTCTCACAGTTGTCTCTCCCTACTCAATGACCGTGTGATTTGAGAAAAGGGTTTTACATTCTCTCAATCAATCTCTCTCATTCTCTCCCTCTCTATCAAACTATTGTTCTCCCTCAATCTCTTTCATTTTGTTTCTCGTTTAATCTCTCCTTCTCCCTTATTTTTCTCTCTCAATTGATCTCTCCTTTCTCACATTGATATCTTCTTTTCCCTCATTCTCTCTTGGTCGATCTCTCCTTCAATCTCTATCATTCTCTCTCAATTTCTTTCCTGCTCCCTCTCGTTCTTTTTTTATTATTTTTCTGACACACTTATACGGTATTAACCAAACCGTATTAAAGAACATAAGACCTTGGCATGAGAAAGACTAAGGGAGAATGAGAAAGAGAGAGAGAGAGAGAGAAATTTGGTTGTAGACCAAAGCTGATAGAATGGGAGAGAAAGGGAATAGGAGGTCGAGAGATGACTATGAGAGAGAGTGGAAGGGAGATCAAGAGGGAGAGGGAGTGGGAGTGGGAGAGACAAAGGGAGCAAGAGTTCAAGAGATCGATATTTTGATTTTAGTATAAATTTTTTGGCAACAGCCACATAAGCCTCCGATGACATGGCAGGGGGTTTCATAATTTGAAATGTACAATTGGCTGTTAGAGTTTTGCTGGTTTTTAAACCAACCTGCAGCATAAATTGAAATATACAGCTGACTCTGACTAATTTTCCCTTTTTTAAATTGTGTATTGCCCCTTCATATAGTGTGATGCAAATTTTGCCTATCACATATCAACCCTCTCACCACCTGAATGCATCACAAATTGCGTAATCTATCAAGTATCACCCAACTACTAGCATCTCCAAGTCGATTATAATTTTGGGTTTGAGAACCACTGGAATCGTTGTTGCCTTGTTGGGGTCATGTCAATTCTCTACAGCTTGAACAAATCACCTAATTTTTCGAACAAATCACCTAATGACTAATGAATGACGAAGCTTGCTTCAGAAAGCTTCTCTTATTTTGCTTTTCATTAGAACAAACTCCATGTTGCACTGGACTGCAGTAAAAGAGAGAGAGAGAGAGAGAGAGGCAAGGCACATCTCATAACAAACATCTTTGCACTGGTTTTACAGCCTTCATGCGGTGGACTTCCCAGAACCAGGGCATTTGAATGACATGGATTGCTGTCTCTTTAGAGATATAACTTTTAAGTTTCTCAACCATAATGATGATATATCCGCAGCCGTGCTAACGTCTTTTCTAATTTCTGTTGGCTTTGAGGTGGCTTCACACCTTCAAAGAAAATTAGTAAAACCTCTTACTTCAACCTCTACTTGTCATTTGTTGTTGTTTCACATATACATCCTGGAAGGGGATTTGCATAGAAACTCTCCTCCAGCTTAGGAAACTCTCCAGGCTCCCTTAGATATGGAGCTCCATCTCGGTTTTTGTGTAGCTTTTTCACTTTGGAACTGAACTTCTTCCAAGATAACTTCCCCTCGTCAAATTCATCAACTAGTTTTACAAAATTCAGCCTGTCATAATGAGAAAATCACATATTAGCTTAATATTCAAGTTTATATACATAGAGGCCATTGTTAGGCATAATGGCAAAATCCCGGGCTCATAAGCGATAACATGGCCATGGGTTCAGTGGCCACTTTGTGCAAAAACAAAACGCCAAAGGTTTGGTCTGTATCCAGTTCACCCCTCCCAAGACCCCAGATAGTGGAGACATTGGGTAAGGACTTTTCTTACATATATAAGAAAAGGCCATTACACAATGTTGGCCCCAGTTAGTTGTAGGCTTGTGGCGGAGACACAGGATCAGAAAGAGAGAGAGAGAGAGTGAGAGAGAGACGTTGATCAGCATAATACCTATCAGACCTATCAGGATTGATGGTTTTCTTAAAATTCTYGAAGCACCTATGACCTTGCACAGCCTTTGCCATATTCCCATCATACGTATAGATAAAAACATCACTCCGAAGAGCAACAACATACTGCAAGCATGTTCTGGTGATTCTTGAAAGGATTTAGCTCCTCTCCCATAGAAAGAGTGGAATGAGTGTATATGTTGGGAAAATCATCCTTGAGATATTGTATGCTCCCATTCCCATAAGCTTCACCAGCCACCAGGTAAATTGTGGTCCTGGAATGGAAACCCAAACCTTTGAGCAGAAGGTAAGTCTCTCTTGGGGTTAGTGGGCAGCCCCCAAGCTTTCCTTCTCTCAGACCCATCAATTTCCTTCTCCTTCCAATGGTTGACCTCATAACGCATCCTCCTAAGCTCATCATCTTCCTCTGCTGTCAAGTTATGACTGCATCCTGTAAAAGCCAGCATATCTTTCTCATACCTGAATAGAAAAACGAGAATGTTTAGTAATAGAATCCAGAACAATCCTCCTTTTGGACATATGTTGGTGTTAACATGGATTTTCAGCAAAARTTCCAAGGCCATTTAATATCTGAGATCAACACATAGTCCTTTCAACTTAAATTACTAATTTTCTATTAAAAGCACTAAAATAAGTCACCATCTTGAACAATTACAGAGGTATTGTTCATTGAACTATATAACTACAAACTACGATTTGAAGGTTTTCATCTTGAGAAACCAAGGATACAGAACCTTCAGAAACCATAATTATTTCCCCTCCTTTTAGTCACTCCAATTTAGTCTATGTGGTGATAAATAAGAAAGATATCTGTAACATTGTATTGATCTCCATTTGAAATTAATTACCCATTAATGTTTTCTGTTCTTCAACAAGTTGACTGAGATCATTCCTATGGGACTATGTGTCCCCAATTAAAGAATATAAGAAACCATGACTGCCTAGACTACTAGGCAGTCAGGTCTCTGAGCAAGTTCGAAATGACTTTTTCTTTGGTTGTTTACTCAAATATCCATATGTTTTCATATACACTGACCTGGATTTCTTTGTGGGAGATAACTATCAGTTTTCATATAAACTGACATGGATTTCACAAAGCCCAGAGTACCTTGTCTCATGGGTTG